GATTTAGATTACTAAGAAAGCAGCTTCCTCTACCATAGGAAATTATTCTAGGCAATCTTTATGCATGCATAGGTGCAATTTTTATATGTTAACCAGTCAATGGCACTCATCTTATAGTTCTTACTTGCATGGTTGTGAGTTATAATTGCTGCTTCTCACTCTTTTTTTCAGTATAAAAAACATTATTATCCCTATAATCAATATTAAACATTAGTTTACATCAAAATCAAAAATTAATAAACATTATATAACCACACATAGTGGTCAAAGTTGCATAATTGCTAGCAATTATTAATAAACAGGCTATGACTTTATAGTGTGACTTTGGCACCAATATGTGTGGTTATGTAATGTTTATTATTTTTGATTTTGAATGTTTAATATTGATTTTATAGACTATTTATATCTCCTTCATGTAATAACTGAAGATACTATAAGCCTTAATTGCAAGAAGCTTGCCCTTTTGGGTCCACCAAAAGTTGGCAAGACAGCATTTCAAGCTCTTTTCTTTAATTGGCTAGCTCCAAAGCATCATCACAGTACTGCAATAGCATCACGCTCAGTACAAGTTGTAGAACGAATAACAGACATAGCTGAGGACAAAGTATGGGATGTAGTTAAAGCTGAAGAAGTCTTGGAAACGCTCTCTGATGCCATCAGTGATGAAAAAAAGGAACCTGAAGATAAAGCTACTGGAGTCTCTTCATCTACATTACAACATTTACAATCAAAAACCCCTGACATGTCACTCGAGGGCAAATCATCAAATGTAGACTTCACTAGCCCTAAATCAGTTAACAATAAGACTCCGATGCACAAACTTGCTATTAAAATGGCAAAGCAGGAATGTAGTAACAAGATACCAGTAACAGTATTACAGCTCTCTGAATATAGGAAGTCAAAGGGAGGGAAGAGATCAAGGGAGCTACATAAAGCCACATGGGTCCACGTTCTTGACAGTGGTGGTCAGCTTCAGTTTGCTGACGTATCTAGAGCTTTCCTTAGAGGGAATGCAGTCAATTTTATCCTTGTGAAGCTGACAGAGAAGCTTTCTGACAAACCAAGCTTTGTGTATTCAGTGAATGGTACTCTAATCAGTGTACCCAGTGAGTTACAAATGACCAACCTACAACTGATAGAGCACTATGTACATTCAGTGGCAGCATCTAATACCTGCACTGTTAGTATTGATGGCAAAGAAATATCAACAAAACCTTTCTTTGTTATCATTGGTACTTACTACGACAAGGTTAAGGGTCTTTTTTTTAGTACTACAGAATCCATTGAAGAAAAGAATAAACAAATCCTATCAACTCTTGAAGAGTTTCATGATCAGTTTATATTTCACAACAAATCATCTAATGAACTCATCTTTCCAGTGAATAATTTATGCTGGATCAATCGAAAGAAGATATCAGATGAAATCCGTGAGCGTATAATGTCACAGGAAGGGATCGGTTTCAAAGTACCCATACCAATCCGGTGGTATCTCTTTGAGCTTCAAATGAGAGAGAAAGGTTCCAGTGATCATGGTATTGTCTCTATTGAGTCCTGCTATGATATCGGTACTACACTGGGAATGAGCAAGAAAGACGTGAAGACAAGTCTTGTACACTTTGATTCTCTTACATTGTGTCTTTACTACGAGAAGGTACTACCCAATGTCATCTTCACTAATCCTCAGTATCTCCTTGATATCCTCTCTGGTTTAGTATGTACATCATTTGTAGTTGATTTGACTCTCGTTCTACCAAAGGGAGTGTCCCTCTCACCCGATACTCAACAAATGCTACAAAGAGACGGAGTCTTTGAGGAATCTATATTAGATGACCTTGGTCTTCCTTTTTTAGAGTCTCTCTTCCCTCCGCGTGATTTCCTCCTCTTGTTGCAGTATCTCTTTATAGTCTCACCAATTCCAATCAAAAGGTCTAATTCTACTGTTTGTGATTCTACTGTTCCTGATTCTACTGTTCAACGCTTTTTTATGCCAATATTGTTACCTCCTGTTAGAATGAGTGAAGAACAGAAGAAGGCATTTATTCAAACATGTGACCCACTCATAATCACTTTCAACAGTAAACTAGTACCACAGGTAATACACTGACAGTGTGTGTGTATTGTATTACTGTCTCTCTCTTTCTTTGTAGGGTCTGTTTCCTACATTGATTGTCTCTTTATTAAGTCGGAGAGACAAACCTCATTTTTTCATTGACAGTAGATCTCCTCTGTTTCCACGGCAGCTTCGACATGCTGTTAAGCTTTTTTCAGAACGTCTTTTTGGATCAATATTCCTGTGTGATAATCTCAAATCAATTGAGATTATTTTCACTGGTCGTACTAGACACTGTTATACTCTTCATCAGGTGATTCTAGAGTGTCTATCAGCCAGTGCTGAGCTCCTGTCTTATGACATGAAGGCACTGATATCTGTTCGTTGTATGAGACATCATACATTAGCTGCTAGTAATGATGAACCTCATCCAATTACTGTCTGTGATACTGAATATCCACCAGTAGTTGGTTGTAGTCTTGAAAATGATCATTCTCCTATTCCAATAGACAACAAGAGACAATACTGCTGGCTAAAAGGTACATTTATAATGCATGTAGATGCAATTAAACTTAATGTATTCTATTTCTAAAGATTTATCATCAGTTGTTCGTATTGACAATATTATTTTACCAGAAGGTTCTGTATTAAGTGAGTGAATGTGTTTAATAGATAATGTGTGTATTTTATTTACAGATGAGTCTCATGCTCCAATTATACTGAAAGCTATCAGTAAGATAGTCAATGAATGGGAGACTCTAGGACTATTTCTTGGAATAGAAAATGAAGAGTTGAAGCTAATTCATTCAAAGAGTTTCTATCAAATAGATGTATCCCGTAAAGACATGATAGTTCACTGGTTAAAGACTGGTACTGCTACAAGGGAAAAGCTGATACAAGCACTTGAGGATTTGGGAAGAAACGATGTTGCTGCTGAAGTAAAGCGTCTGCCTAAACATTAATAAATTTATTATTCTTTATTTTACAGTAGCACTTTCTATTATTGTAATGCTTTAACATTGCCTTTTTGTAGTAGTATTACATAATTATGTACTCTTAAAACTTAGATCTTGATTACTCTTGAATGTTCTAGATATTCTTATTGTGGTTGTTCTAGGATTATCTGTATGGTCATTATTGGTGCTCTATTGTGGTTTTGTTATGTACATATAAGATGCTATGTGTTGTGTCAGTTTTTGTCAGTTCAGTTAATCTTTTTTCAGTGATTTGTAATAAAGCTATTTGCTATTGAGTGATCTTATACTCTGCGAAGTCGCTGTTTTACAACATGATCTACAGCCAGTACAGCACTTTCAAGTAGCCCAATAGTCCTGCACCAACCTTTACTACCCACAGGCAGGTAGTCTAAAGGCTCACATTT